CCCCCCCCCCCGAGGGCGCTCAGGCGCTTTTGCACCGAGCTCGGGGGAGGAGGGGGGGCCTTTTGTACTCCGGCTTCGCCGGAGGCCGAGGTCGGGTCATGTGCCGGGGGACGCATGTGCGCGCGTACACGGAGGCACGCACACCTCCCCCGGGTCGTGGAAACGGGTGGACAAGACCTGCCAGACGCGGCATCCCTTGGCCCGGCGGGGTTTATATGGAGCCCGGGCGCTGGGGGCCAGAGGGTCAGGTCAAAGCAGCCCACCAGCCACGGAGGAGGGCGGCGCCGGTCGGCACGCCGCCATTTTCCCCTGCACGGCGGCAGGCCCCTTGGGGGCCCGGCTCCCGGTGTCCCCCTCTTTCCTGTTGCCTGCGGCGCGCGTCGCCGTCACCAGCTCTCCTCCGGCTTGGGCCCAGCGCGCGGGCGTCACCTCTCGCGCGGCCTTATCGCCAGCCGCATTCCATCATCCCCGGGGTCGGCGTTCGGGCAGCCCGCCGAGCCTCCCCCCGGTGGAAGTCCCCCCCCCGCCCCGCCCCCCCCTACGGGGCGACCGTGGCTCCTTGTTATCCATGTCCGCCCCGCAGGCCAGCGTCACAGGAACCCTACATCCACGACCGCCCCCATGACATCAGGGCCACCCTGGGCTCTCCGGGGACAAGTGGGCGCTCATGTGTGCGGCTGGCGAAAGGCCTGCGCGCAAGTTATTCACGTATTTTTAATGTGCTCAAGTTGCTTTTTCGTCCCCGCCCCCCCCCCCCATTGTTTGGGCATGGACCCCGGACAATATCCTCCCCCCCAGCTTGAGCCTCATCATTGCCGCGGCTCTCGCTGTCGGCCGTCCCCCCCCCCCTATGGGGCCTACGCCACACCAAGGGAGCGGGGGGAAGCCGCGGCGGGCCGGGGCCGGCGGGCCGGGTGTCTGCCGGGGGCGCTTGTCGATCCACGACATCCTACACTCCCAGGGTCTGGGCGCCTCGGGTGCTTTTTTTGCCTCTAGGCGAGTCGCTCGAAATTGGGGCGCGGTCGGGCCCCTCTCCCGGAGCGACCGCGCGGCAGATCGACCGCCAGCCGCGACCTGACGCGCTCGCCGGGCCCAACAAGGGTGGATGGCGGCTCCCCCGTGCGCGGCGGCCGGAAATATTACCCTCCAGCGCCCGAGGGCCGGGTCAGCCCACGACATCCCTCACGCCCCCGGCACGGAGAGAGCGGCGGGG